GGATCGAATCGGATTCGGATTTTTCGGATTCGGATCAAATCGGATTTTGCCCAAATCCGATCCGATCCGATCCGTGCAGAACACTACTTGAAAAGTCTGATATTCTCTAAACACGAAACGCCGTTATCCATTATTTCCGTTTTACGTAATAACTCCGAAAGATACAATTAATAAATATACCAGATTGTATAGAGCACCGACGTTGTAGACAATATGATATTTATGTTATATTAGATTGGAATTAAGATTATTATTAATTAAATTTAGTAAAAAAATAAACACAATACCTTCTGCTTACTCATAAACATCAAAGAACTGCTATTATCAAAATCGTTGAGTTAAAAAGTACAAAATTTTAAATGAAAAGTAATAAGACTTAAGACTTGATTTAAAGTCCGATGCATAAGTTACATTATACTGTGGACTATATTTCCATGATCCGTTTCTGTTGCTATATCAACAAATCATTGATAAAAGGTTGTTACAAATGTCATATTATTGTAATCATCAATGCATGTTTTGACATTATTATATGAGTGGTGTGCTATTAAAATTGAGATACGAATCATATAATTTACTATTTCTCGTACCTTAATTTTAATAGCATACCACCCGTATATTCAATTTTTCAGAAACAGTTTTAAAGATGTTCGTAAAATATAACTATAAAGTTTTGCTCTTTATGTTTTTTCTCCACAATCTTATAAGCCATCCACAGATAAAAAACATGACTTGGACCATTTCTCAATAGATAATAATCGTCTCTTTTGGAGTATCTTTCATAAAATTCTCTTGAATGGAATGATAATTCTAGGTCTAAAGGGTTGAAAATTCGGATTTTGTGCGCGGCAATGAACATTTATCTTTTGTATCACTTCATATGAATTCCTTGTGCACAATCCTCTGTTGTTGAACCTAATACAAATCCGTCATGTCTACTGTGTTATACATTTGCGAATTCTGATTACTTTTCTTTTTTTATGCAAATAAACATAAATTTATAAGTTGATCAATAAATCATTAAATGAACTTTTAAAAATGTCGTCCCTATAAATACAGAGCTTGTAGAGAAATTAGCATTTGCAGGATCTTCAAATCGAACCTTTTTTAGAAATTTTCGTTTATGGAATTTATTATTCCGATGCAAAAAAATTATTAGACGAAATGACAAAACATTAACAAATCATTACCTATAATAATGAAAACGTCTGGCGGAAATACGTAAAGTTGACTTGTTAAGTGAAAAATCAAGTTAGCAAATGGAATCCACGGGTAAAATAAAACCAAAAATAAATTTGAGAAATGTTTAAAATGTAAAAAAAGAAACCTTCTGAAGAAGATCATAATATTTGCCGTGATTATTATTTTACAAATACAACTTTTAATCCTATTGGAAACGAAATATTAACGTTTTTATCAAAAGTACACAAATTTATTATTATTCTAAAGCAAAATGGAGATTTTTCTATTTAACAGCTTCAGAAATGTAGAATTTATTAGTGAGGAGGTTTAGTAAAGTTTATAAAGCTACTTGGATTGATGGTCCTATAGTCCAATAGGTTATTGGAATAAAAAAGAAAAAAAATATAATCGTATATCTAATAAACAAATTGCCTTTAAGAAAATTAATCTGAATAATTGAATCATCACGTAACAACTACTTATTTTTAAAAAATAAAAAAAAAATTATAAATTATTTCAGAAAGGATATAAATTTATGGCGAAGAGATACCTCCTTTTTTTTTAAAAAAAATTTTTACCTTTCAAACTTTTAAAATATTCTGTCTCTCCGTATCCTTCTTGTTATGTATAGTCCGGCTGAATCAGTTGTCCAAATATTTGTGTCGCTGTTGCATCGACATATTGCAAAGTTTTATTCTTTCATTCATTTAGTGTATTCACACAACTCAACAGGCTTATTCAATTTATTCTTTAAATGGATTGAATCTGTTTTAAATTTTATACGTGATGGATTAACTGAACAAATAGATGTACAACTATTAATTGACACGGTGTTGACAACCGTAGAGCGAGACCTTCTTTCAACAGAATTAGATGATTTAATGAGTTGGCATACTTGACTAAAGAAGAGACATTTAATGCGTCTCAAAGATATTATGTATAATGATATTAATAAGGATAGCATTGACTATGACAGAAATGATAATGACAACGATGATTATTATGGGTGGAAAATTAAAATGGACAAACACGAAGATGACAAAGATTCGCAAGATTCTGATTCAAGTTCAAATTCAATGATAGATATTAACCATAAGAGGGAATTCCCTAGTTATGCCAAAATTATTATCTCTATTCGTAAAGTTAATAAGCAGCTCTATGCTTAATATTAACGTGAAACAATACTAAAAAGCTCTTCTTATCTATTTATATTATTGTTTCTCAGTTTCAAAAAATCAAATTGTTTTTTAATAGTCATTGGTCAGTCGGTCAGAAATCTTTGACCGATCATATCAGTTATGGTAATGACCGGTCATGACTGGTCATGACCGTAACCATTAGCATCCCTAATTCAGTACAATATATTTTCTAGATATAATAGGTGCATATATAATAAATTATAATAAATTATAAATTCATAACAAAATTTCAAAATATTGACATGTTTGTTGCAGTTACATCTTAATATTAGTCCTTTGCATCAGAAAGAGTGAAACAGCTGGAAAAAATTAAATATAATAAATTTACTCTTATATGTAATGTTTAAATTTATTTTATTTACTTTTCACAATTGTTAAAGAAGCTATATAATCATCCTTTTTTTCAGAGAATTACGTTCAAAATGCAATTTTTAATTTTTCATCAATATATCACTAAAATGGAATGTAATTTTTCCTTTTATATTTCGAATGGCTCCAAATATTGTACAGTGATAATTTTACTTCTAAATTATGGCATGCCGAAAAAACGTTTTGTAGTAAATAAATTTCTGACGTATTATTTATTAGAGACGTGTAAATTTAAATTAGACTTTTAATTTAATTTTATACATTATCGTAAAATTTATTATCTCAGTTGTATTACAAATATGCGCAACAAGGTATTTCAGACAATATTTAAACTAGAGCATTAAGACAATAATTAGTGTGTGACACAGATTCCAATTTGCCCGCATTTTAAATAATTTACTTCAAAAAAAATTCATGCCTTGCCAGTACATTATACAATAAAATTAGGTAAATGTAGCAAATTAACATTATGTTTTATTTTCGTCTATGCTTGTATCAGATTTTTATTTTATTTATAATATTTCCTTATTTCAACAATTTTAATATTTTTTATTATTAATTAGAATCAATTTTTCTTCATCTTAATCGTTGGAGGTACGAGATGTTTTTTGTTTTAGTTTAATTTTTATTATGTTATTAATTAACTATATTTTTTTTTTGATTTGAATTGATCAGTTTGGATAATTTGTCACTATCGAAGGTTTAAACAAATATAAATGCATATTGCTAGCTATGGTGATTTATACTTTAAATTTAATGCAAAAGTGATGCATAACTTTTGAGAGCCACTGTACAATCCTCCCATCTAATAATATGGTTGCAGTATAAGTATCTCGATTTGGAGGTGCATTCACGACAGAAATATATGACCATGTTATATCCCTGGTATACAATATAATCATATTATCATAAAATTTAATATATTTCCTATAAGTTTATCTAAATTTTCCTCCAAAGCAATATATATTTCCACTGTCATCAGCAATAACTAGTATATTTCCTTTGAATATAGGCATATTCCATTGTCCCGATTTTGGATTGAATGGATATACCAGCGAAGTGAGTCCACTGGCCAAATTAGTTTCCTGGACAAAAATGTTCTGTTAATTTTCATATATATAAATGGCGGAATTTTTCTTTAATAAAAAATAACAATTATCATAACATTTTATTCAACGATAATTACAACGATTAATATCGTTCACATTCGCTATAATAAATCTCATTCAATCCTTGAAAAGTCCGATAATTTCTTAAACTCGAATAACATCGTTTTTACATTTTTTTTGTAATAACTCCGAAAGATATAATTAATAAACATACCTGATTGTATAGAGCGCCGACGTTGCAGGCAATACGATATCTATGTAGTATTAGACTAGAATTAGATTATTATTAATTAAATTAGTAAAACAATAAACACAATACCTTCTGCTTACCTTAAAAGCTCCGTTTATAAACCATAAAATTCAAAGAACTATTAACATTATCATTTCCAACATTGCATTGAGCGGAGCATTATATTATAGAAAACACACTAACGGGAGAACTTAATATTTTTCAAAATTTTAACATTAATTCATAATGACACCTAATAAATTTAGTATTATCACTTCAGCTTTTAGGAAAAAAGTGCATTAACGGGAAAGTTGGTGGTTCATCAAATGAATTCTTTAAATATCCTTAACGTAACAAATATGCTGTGCCAATATTCATAATATATTCAAAGAATCCGAAATTTTAAAAGATTGTTATTCCAATTAAATAGATGACTATATTGTATTTTTTTTTATTTGATCTAGATTTAGGCGATCAAATTGACGACTCCGTCCAAAAAGGCACTTGTCAAAATGTCTTTTTTTAATCGATTTGTCTTATGGACAGATTGTCCTCTTGAATTAAAGGCATAAAGTCTGTAAAATAGTAATTTCCCCAGCTTTCGTTTAGCCGCAGATAATTAGCAAGCACGTTTGTAAATTTGACTCCGCAAGTACAGAACGCCGACGTTGAGGCAGTACTTGGTTAATTGATTTTATTAAATAATTTTACATCACATCAAAATTAACTAATAAAAGAACCTTCTGTTACCTATTTCATTCTTTTATAATATAAACTTGTAAAAACTAAGTTAATTTAACTAGGAAGAAAAAAAAATAGTTTTTATCTATTATTGAACTAATAAGATTTATTGTGATATTATTTTTGTAAATAAATTGTTTTTTCATCATACAAGTGAAAAAAAAAATATAAAGATTGAACCGCATTTTATTGGTTAGTAAAATGTTAATCTTTTCAATATTAAGAATATTCTTTACAAAATTATATAAAACAAAAGAAAATACAATATATTACTAAGGAAATTAAAGAATTATTAAGAAAAAAACAATTAATGCCCATTCAAATATACTTTAGAGAAAAATACTATTTATCTACCTTAAATCGATAACAAAGCGGATTTAAATTACTCATAGAAGTAACGCTCTATTACATTTAGTTGTTTTTGGACAGTGATCTAGATTAATCAATTAAGCCGGTGAAGATTATTATTTTTTAAAAAGTTCGAATAGCTTATCAAAGAAGAAGATTCATTTAAATATATATCATTTACATTGTTTATAAACTTCGTTTTAATAAATTTTGTGAAAACCTAAAATATTTATTTTTTTTTAGAAATATATAGAGCTAATTTATTCAAAAAAAAAAATTATAGAATTAAATAATATTATTCCATTAGATAAGGCTTTTTTTCTAGCAATGACAAAAAAAATATTTTACCCGATGAAATATTGATCATCAAATATAATTAATTAATAATTCTGTATGCCACCCGCTCATGATGCAAAATCGACCCATATCGAAACGTATGAAAGATCAAGGCAAGATTATCTATTATAAAGAAAATAAATAATGTAAAAGTTAGCAGGGAGTGACACACTCGCATTCCATGTCTAGGGAAGCAAATTCCTTTAAACGACTATTCCTTGAGCCTCGCTATGCTAACAATCTTGTAAACTGTAATCATTAAAACTTTGGTAAAACAGGGAGCGCAATTTACCTCGTTAAAAATCTTTATCCGAAGACAAGTGTAAGCCGATAGCCATCATCTCCCTCCACAAAGAGGAATTCTGAATGCAAACTAACAGATGGATTCTGTCCTTATTTATATTGAAATGTGAAAATATGTGAAATTGTGGGATTCATGATCTTCATTATCGATCACTAATTATGGAATATGCACATTATAGATTATATGATCTATAACAAGTTACCAATATCGCGATCTTAAATCGTCTTTATTTTTTTCTAACATCGGAAGCCCTTCAAAATTTTCAGGTAGAAACAATTTCGATTCTGACAAACAACAGAAGAAGTTTATTATACCAATTTGGCTTGATAAAAGAGCTCACATTTTTTCCACTTTTTGCAATATGCTGTTTAGCCGCCGGCAAGGATCGTTTACCCTCTTCACTAAACCACCATCATATTTGCTTCATTTGTATACTTCTGTAGGAGCTAATTCCGCAATAACATCTCATTTCTTGATCGGTGCGGGTCTAATTTCCGAGTTCATGGCCAAATATATCATATTATCTGACCATTGCTTTCGATATAATTGACTGACGAAGCCTATTTTGGATTTGTCGAAACGTCTAAACCTCTAGTTTCGACTGGTTTTTAATAAGTCCATAATATAATTTCGACTTTTTGATATAGCTTGGCAGGTTTCGACGGATTTCGACAAGTTTTGACAGGTTAGTTTATATGATTTTATTAAGGTTTTGACACTTTTGACATTCGACGGTCTGCATAAACCCAGGAGGTTCGTCAGACAATTATAGCTTTGGAATAAATTCAAATTGAATTTCTAGTTTTTTTTTTTTAATAAAATTTTACGCTAAACCTAATTTTTTAAAAACAAGTCATGCAAATTACCATAACCCACCCAGTGCGTAATAATTAATCTCCTCATATACTAAATTAATTTTTAAAAATATACGCATAGATAAACTGTTTAGTTCTGAAAAGATCAAATTGTTGGGTCTATTAAATCCGGTGAAGGAATCAGATTATGAATCTTCCACACAGCAAAGTGAATACCGTTATCTGTTGCTGTCGTTAAATTTTGTTGTTTTGATTGATAAGGCTACTTTGATTTGAAGAACAACAACAGTAATGTCAGTAATTGATGACTACATTTTACGTGATTTTCTGATCTTGTTCTTGATGAAGGGTACCAGGACGATTTAATATGTTCGGATTGATTGGAGATGAATATTTTGCTTCTGATTACTCACAATAAATTTAATTTTCAATTTTCAATAGTGCTAATGATGGGAAGGCCAAAACATGAGCAAGCAAAAAGAATCGCAAGATTAAAATTGAGTTCAATGGAGAGAAACAAGTCAATGTAACATGGCCAGATATAATCGTTTCCCTTAAATAGATTGAACAAAACATCAATTATCTAAATTGTGATTCAACAATTCAATCAGGTAAGGATGATCAAACTTTTTTATAATTGAGAAATATCATCGTTCAAAAAAAAATTTTATTTTGTAATCAACATGAATAAACTAATGATTCATGAGCCATTTTGCTTATTACTAAAAAAAAGAAATAAACACAATATTCCGAAGACTGTGAACCGAATCAATACATTAGAATGACAGCGAATATATATGAACGATAAGTTAATGCCGCTTAAAGGTTACGCCTTGACGCCCCAATAATTAGCAAAAATTTTTACAAAGGATTACAAATTTTGATGCGAAATCTTTTTAGCCAGTATCGATGATGAAACTTTCGAAATATGAGTCAACTGCTTAATTTATTAAACTATACAAATTATATTTTTTGATTTTGCAAAGGATATAGGTTTTTATATACGTCAGGAAAAATGATTTGGGACAAGTTCATTTTATGCCGATCATCTCTAAAAGTGACGACGCTATTAATTGAGTTACGTGAAACATTACTTGTTTTTTATGTACGATTTGATTTGGCATTTTTCGAATTACATGAATTTTATCAATATACTGAATGATTTTTTTATTTAAAGTAATACATATTTCAAAATATATCATTTGTCATTCACTTTCGTGAACAAAAAAATAAATGAACTAAGTAATAAAAAAAACTTTGAAAATATCAATATCGTTATTGTGACATGATCTAATATGAATAAGTTAAAAATTAGAACGTCTTTAAGTTTTATTAATCCCTGATTTATTTGTATCTACATATTCTAATGCATACAGTATTTAGATATGATTAATATTGATTGATAGATTAATCAACCAGATTTATGTGTTAGTAAATATGTTCATATAAATTCAATTACAATAAAATTCTTATTAAAATCATACAGTTTTATGTATTGACTGATAGTTAAATAATGGATTATTAATATATAATGAAACTTTATCTTATAAAAACTTATAATTTAACTATTGAGCTATGGATACACTTTCTATATATTTTAATACAATTTTTTTTTGGTAAGTAAATTAATTATTTTTTAATAATCAATTACTCAAATTTAATTTATTAGCCTCAAAATACATTTTATAACATCATAAAAGATTTAATAAATATTTAAATATTTAAATATTTATTGTAATATTAAAAAATAATTTGTTAGCCTCAAAATACATTTTATAACATCATAAAAGATTTAATAAATATTTAAATATTTAAATATTTATTGTAATATTAAAAAATAATTTGTTTATTTAATAATTACAAACTGCTATTTATAATGTAAAATTTACTTTATATATAATAGTGTTTATTAAATAAATATTTATAGAATTAAAACTTAATAATAAACAAATTTTAATATATAAAAATTAAATATCGTAAGTATTTTAATTTTCTTTAAAATATTAAAATTTGGTTAAATATTATTATGTATATTAAATAAAAATACTATTAATTATCTGTAATATTTAACTTCTCTATAAATTTAAATAAATATTAATATAAAAAATTAAAATTATTTAAAAATTTTAAATTCATAAAAAATTAATATAATTACCAAAATATTGATTAATTCCTATTATAGTATCATTCTAATTTAAAATTTTATTTAAATTTTCAGTAAAATCAAGTAAACGACTTGTATAATATGCTTTTGGATGAGAATCAGCAATATTTTTATCATTATTAATAATATTTTGTTTTTGATTTAATATATTATCTGCTTTATAAAATTTTATAATATCCTTCTTTAATTCATGATCAAATTTATTAGTAGTAATATTTTTTATCCAATTTTCAATAATTTTTTTAATTTCTGATGCAGTTGGTCTTTTTACTGGATCAATATCCCAGCATTTTTTCGTTAAATTTATATAACATTGTGGAATGTTTTTATTAATTTCAGGACGTTTACCTTTGCAAATATCTAAGCTAAGTTGAAAATCATGTGCTTCATTATCAAATGGAGAAATTCCAGATATAAATTCCCATAAAATCATAGAAAAGCTATATATATCACTAGCTAAAGTATAAGGTTGACCTCTTAAAACTTCAGGTGCTACAAATGGTAAAACACCATAAAT